ATGGGAGGGAGTTTTATAATGTATAGATTGGAAGATAGGAAGATAGGTGTCCTCTATTAGTTCACAATTTATTGTAAACTAGAAAATTTCGACACGTAAATAAAGTTATTATTATCATTATTATTATTATTAAATAAATCCCATTTTTCCTTTTCAAAAATTATTGGCTCTAGCTTTTCTGCCTCCACAAGCATAGCCCCTTACAGCTGTCTAGCCCCTCCCTCACAAAAAACGGTTTCCATCGATATCACGTGGTTAGTTCCCGCGCTGTCAGCGGCAGAGTGATTGCGCATGCTCATAGTATTTTGTAATCCGGCTTGCCTGTCCTTTGTTTGCTCGGCGTCCATTACTAGACCAATATACTCCAGCATACCATCGAAAAACTACATTAAAATACTATAAAAAGGTAAGAAACCGACTCTCATACCTCAAATTCCTCTTCTTCTATGTCACAAGATCCTATTTTAGAAATTCTCAGCAACTAAAGGGAATCTCTTAGGCGTTTTTTGTTGTCGTGAAGAGAACGAACTTCAGGTTTCGAAGAATTCCCGCATTTGGAAGCACATGTCTGGGCTGGGTTACTAGAATGGCGAAAAACATAAAAGCAAAGCGCTAAAACCTCTCGTCGGAGCTCCATAAGTTCTTACCACGTGTTTTTCATCAATTCTACTCTTGTTTTGACGTTTGAGTGAGAAAATATGGAAATAAAACGAGCCAAACTCTACACCACATGTACGAGATGTCGTTCTCGCGTCTTACAGGGCAATCGCATTTTCGCCATAATTCACAACGAAGAAAGCTATAACAAAATAATTAGAAACAAGTTCAGTCTTTTAATGTATTCATTCATAGCTTGAATGRGCTTTTACAAAGTTTGGTTAGGGTTTTCGAATAGCGTGCAAGTTTAGGATTAAAAATTGATGACGGGAGCTGTCAGATGTTGGAAAATTAGGAACGGTTTTAGAGGAATCAGGAATTTTGAAATTTATGAAATTTTAAAGCCATTTGAGATTGATTGATCAATTAAAGATAAAAGATGATAAAGCTTGGCCAAGTGAATAACACAGAGTGTTGATAATCTTTCAAATAAGGCTCAAGAGTCTCATATACCAGAAAGAATAAATATAGGGATGATTAGTATGAGTGATCACTGAAAAGTAGAGAAAAAAGTTCTTTTTGAAATCCTCAAATACCTTTGTGTTCCTTGATCACAGATTCATTTACTCAGGGTTACCCTCTTTTCAGCATCAAAATCAATAATACTAACAGTAAAGTGAAAAATGCACAACTTAACGATAAAAACATTTTGAAATCATATGGACCTTGACTAAAATGCATAAATACATATAATAATTTCATATGAAATGGAGGCTAATCCTTAGCAACGGAGAATTGAAACTAAAATGGAATGTTCTATTAGACCCTAGTATGATCGTTTTTAAAATGTGGAAAGAAAGGGAGTAGATTTCAATCAACCATGACAGAGTACATTGTGGTACACAGATCTATAAACATCCATGTGTATGTGTTGTTTTTCTCTTTGCAAGTTATAATCAGTCTGTGCACTGTCGGCTATCTGAGATACCAGCCTCAAAGCTTAAGGAACTACCGACATTCAAATAGTTACTTTTATTTACTTTTATTAACCCAGAATTTCATAATTATCATTAACAGGAGAAATGGCAGCCAGTGATTCCTGGAAGGACAATGCCATTCTCAAGAAAATCTATGTTGGAAATCTAAAGGAAGAAACTGATGAGGAGAAGTTAAAGGAGTACTTTGGTCAGTATGGTGAAATCCAGGAGGCTAAACTCATTCGCTACCCTGATGGTAAATCAAGAAAATGTGCCTTTATCACATTTAATGATTGTGATGTTGTCGATAATATCTTGTTCAATTTTGAGTCCCATACAATTGATGCAAAGACTGTCGATGTCAGACGGGCAATCCCAAGAGAAGACCCAGACCCCCTTGCACACATTAGAACCAAGAAGTTATTTGTCGGCGGCTTAAAAGACAATCAAACAGAAGAAGATATCAAAACAGCCTTGGCAACGTTCATCCCATTTGAGCCGACCTCTATTCGATTGATGAAAGAAAAAGAAACTAACAGATTCAAAGGATTTGCCTTTGTGAACTTTGAGAATGAGAACATTGTAGATAAACTTTTTCTCATCCGTAAAATCATCATTAAAGAACAACCAGCAGAGATGAAGAAAGCCGCAGAGTTAGGTGGCGGTGGCCCTGGTGGTGGCCGTGGTGGTCCACGAGGTGGAAGAGGTGGTCAGCGTGGAGGCAGTGGTCCAAGAGGTGGAGGTAGAGGAGGACGTGGGGGAGGTGGCTATGGTGGCGGCATGAGTGACTATGGTGGGTACCCAGGAGGAGGTTACGAAGGATACGGAGGATATGGAGGATACGACAACTACAGCAGAGGCTATGGAGGCCAAGGAGACTACTACGGCAATGGATATGGAGGCGGATATGGCAGTTATGGAAACTCCTCTTATGGGGGAGGTGGCAGTATGGGACATTACTCACAAGAGCAGTCAGGGTATGGTCCAAGTAGGGGGCGTGGTAGAGGGGCTCGGGGTGGTGGCGGCGGCGGGGGATATAGACCCTATTAGTTCCACCTTCATGTAGAGTCTTTACTCAAATATCATTTTATCATATTACACTAACTATAACTCATATCTTTGTATTACTGTGCAAAGTGATACACACTTAACAGTATACTGATGTAAATGAAACACTCATTGCTCTGAAGAGATATCAGCGCTCGTTCAAACTACAAGCTATAACGTTGTGCCATCAGGGATTGTGGATCTCATTTTTAAGAACATTCAGATATAATAACCAAACATTATCCTTCATGTATAAGAAAGTTCATGCAGAATTGACAATAAGATCCAATATCTTAGTTCAATCTTTAAGAGCACTTTTTAAAAAATCAACTTGGTCAAAAAGCTAGGAAAGTATACTAATTTAAATTTTTCTTGGACCTAATTATCATTTTAATCCTGGATAATCTTAAGTTTATCTTCCCTAATGATTCTGCAAGAATTCTAATTGTTTTAAGCAGAAGTTAGGACATGTATATGCATATAGCGAGCATTTTTTGTGTGTATTTGTTTTCAAATGCAATTGGACTGATGCTAAAAACTATTTGTTTGGGATTTCACAAGTTTGTATTAAGCTTTTATTTGTATTCAATAAATTCGTTTTCACAAAAGAACTTTGCATGTGGTTTTTTTTCTTCAGTTTTTGTGAAACGTTTTTGGAGTTTAATTTTTGTTTGAAAAATGTCAAACTTTCTAATTAGTTTTTACAGTTTTAATAAAGTTCATAAAGAGTTTTAAACTGGTCTTTTTATTCCTTCATTTTTTGCTGATGTGAACTTAACTTTTCAACAAAAAATAATTTCTTCATGTCATCAAATTGATTATTCTGCTGTTTTCAAGTCCTGATGCAAGTATTTTCATAAAGTTTCTTTGAAAATATAAGGTAAAGTATTTTTATAATTTTTTGTACATTTTTCTATTCTTTATTAATGTTTTTAATGTTCAAAATGTCAATAGAATTATCAATATTTTTTTCTACAGTTTTGAAGAAAAAAAAATATTTGCAAAGAAGTTTACCACTTTTTCTACATGTTTCTTGATGTTCATCTCAGCTTTCTACAAAAATTTTTTTGTCCTACCTATTTTCCATGTTTTTGATTCCTGCTGGAAGTTTTTGTCACAAAAATGTAAGGTAAAGTATTTCCTTCTTTCACATAATTTTTGTCCTACACAAACTACTATTTTATTTCTTTTTACTAAGAAATTTTAATGTTAGTACTATTTTTGATATTTTCTTTTATACAATAACATTTGCATTGACTTTGCATTTCTTTTTTCAGACCAAGTTGAGTATTTTCTGTTCCTGTTTTTCTATTTTTGAAGTAAATTTGAAGTCTTTTTGATAAATGAGAGCATTGCTGTCCAATAAATAAATTGTTTGATGTTTTTTATCTGAGGATTGTTCAAATAACATGCAATCTTGTGCACGACATATGAATCGAAGGAGCCTCATGTCATGGCTGCCTTGATGTGATAGTGCAAAACCTCTAGTAAGACAGCACTAAAGAAAGTGCAAGGCATTCTGGTAGTCGTAGTATGTAATACTATAAATTCAAGTGGCCTAATGTCAATTTCTTGAACCAAATTCCAACAATTAGTTCATACTCGATATCACTATACAACAAATAGAAATTACTAGAGGAACACATGCTGTTAAAAAGTGTATATATTACATACCATTTAATTCTGCAAAGAACGTGCGTTATATGGAAAAAGTTTATGCCTGATATGAAACCATACTTCTCATTTGCTCACGCTGGGTAAGATAGGGTTTAGAAAAAGTTTGAGCATTTCTTTGCAGAATTAAATGATAAATAACTTATCAGTAGGCTAAGCAACTGATACGGCTTCGCATTTTTACTTGTCACTTGCATTTTGGCTTGCCTAAAGGTTTGCCAAAATACTCCATGACTCTTAAAAATAGACAGCCATATCAGATGCTTAGCCGACTAATAACCTCCATTTATTTTTAAAATTTTTGCTATTTATGACAAGTTTTGAACATTATGCAAGCTTGTGGCTGCAAGCTGCACACTGAAATATGGTTTGTCACTAATGTAAATCAAAATTAATTAGCCAGTACCTAATACACCTTTTGCTGGCAGCAGTTGTGGTTTCACATGATATTTAATATCCCAAGTAAAGAAAGTATCTCCTTGGGGTTGCAGAATTTTATAAATATTTTTTGTAAAAATGTACATCATAAACATAAGGATAATGTAATATATATTTTTGAAAATATTTAGAAAAAGAGTAATAGTTTGTACAAAATAAGAATTTTTAAATGAGCTGTTTCTGTGCATGGTATTTAAACATGATATACACTTCGAATTACCAACTAGAGTCCTCTGGGGACATTTGTTACCAGCATGTCAGAGTTCTGGTTCCTCTTATTGTTATTCATACCATGGAATTTTGTCTTTTTCTCTGTAGTAAAGACTTGATTTAGAGAGTTTAAGCAACCACAATCTGGGACCTTCCTGTTGTTCTTCCCACTGTTTTCGTTTCTTATCATCGTTTTCATTACTGCACTATGATCAAGACAAGTTGCAACAGTTTAATGGCAGTAGATTACTGTCAATCAAATCATTCTTGTGTACCTTTACACACACTTAACCCATAAAACAAAATCTAATATTCAATACAATATTCAATATACAGTGCTACTACACCTACCAAGGCCACCCAGACGAATTTTCATACAGATTAGCCAATCATGATTGAGTATTTAAACAAGAGAATCTGTACAAATTTTCATATTCTCCCCTATAAAAGCATATGTTTAACTTTATAAGTGTGTGTGTATCTGTATGATCAGGAGTGAATGAGAAACAGTTTAAACTCCAGAATTCGTCACCATCCTGTTATATTCAGCGTTAGAAACATGATTTGTGAATTTGATTTAAAATTTGTCTGGGTGGCCTTGAGTAATGTAGTCACACTAAATTGTATTAAACTAATATCTATTTCATGGTTTAAGTGTCATCACTCTGTTCAAGAGTTCTTTGATTGATGTCAATCTACTGCCAATTTACCTAGTGCAACTTTAGTCTCTGTCAACATCTAAGAAAACCGTGGTAGTACACATTTTGTTGATTAATGTATTTATAGAGGGACTATTACAAAAATCGTCCAAAATTTAATTCGGCTGAAACGTCACTGGAATAATCTTTCAGGATATTATGACTAATGACAGACTGTGACATCATCTACTGAACACTAAACATCGCTCCATACATTTCTATGTATTTTGTCATAACAATAACCGCTAATTTCATGCTCCGTATTTAAGAAGTAATAAAACAATTCTAATCACAAGTAATGTATGTCAAGTCCCTCGGCCATCCTTTGGACTTATTAGAAATAACGTTATTTACTGTGAAATGTATAGAGCACTGTATTGAGTAGATGACATCACAGACTGTTAAAAAATCATTAAATTAATATTATACTTCGCACCAGAAGATTAAGAAAAAACTTTAACCAATGATTGTTAGATCTTTCAGGATTTTTCTAGTAAAGTTTCAGCTGAATTAAAGTTTAGACCATTTCCATACTAGTCAATCCCCTTTTTGATTTCTCTTACTTTATATTACTTTCTCCATATTTTCAGATAACAGTAAAGTTACCCCTGAACCTGTTGAGCAACAAGAAAGTGAACGATTCCCAATATTGCAATTATTGAAAGACAATGATATGAGATGCCAGGAAGACACTTCTCATATCTCAATTGTCTTCACCAACAGTAACTTGATATGCAGCAAACTGCACGAACAATTATTGTATTTTTGTAATAAAAGATGTTTTATATTTGACCGTGGTTGTGGTTGCTTAAGATCTCAGATTCATATTCCTGTGTAAAGTATATGGACCATTGACGATGCCAGGCCATGTACAGATGTGTACAGGAACATACATAATTCTATCATGATTCTCCCATAAGCTTGATCAAGAGAGAGCTGCCATTATTACAAAATTATTGGATGACGTCGAGTGTGATAGTGACCACAGTAAATCGTGAAACTTTAGTAATACTAAATAGCACAATTTCATGCAAATTCCATTGTTTTCTATTGTTTAACTAGCACTATTTTGTACTATTTAGTAATTAGTGTTTCACGGATTTACTGCAGTGGTCACTATCTTAAATTATCAAAACCAAGGCTGTGTTATGCAATAGCAGAGGTGTTGATAATTAACAATGGCACCCAAAAAAAACAATTTCATAATAATATTGTTGTATCATACATTTTGTAAACTAAGAATAAAGATTTCTATTGAAATGAATATCCTTCTACTTACTGGTAGTCTACTATTTTTTCATGAGACATGTAAAATCACTACTGCAAAGTCTTGTTTTCTATTGAATAGAGTGAAGGCATTTAACCCGTGAAATAAAAAATACTAGTCAACCTGTAATAGTCAAAAAGACACGAAAGAAAACAATGGAATTAGGGGCTACTAAAGTGTATTAATCAAATATCTATTTCACGGGTTTAATGACTTCACTCTAAGTGGCTATATATTTAACACTAAATCGTGCTTTTAATTTTCTGTGCTCAGTTTAGAAGTGAAGCACTTGGGGATCAGAGGTGCCATAAGTACTTGCTGAAAGCTCATGCTTGTAACACTTCATTAATTGTAAATTTTATTTGGGCCAGTGAAACAAAGTTGTGGAAACAATGGAATTACTGTAGTGTCTGCTACTATGTGGTCCCGGGGGAGGGGGGGATACTACCACCCCAACTTGGGTAGGGGTTGGCCGCCAGGACCTCAAAACCCTGATCCTATCCCAGACCTAAAATTTTGATTTTACATACCCTACCCCAGACTAAACCCGGTTAGTCAATAGATTGCAATCTATTTGCTAACGTTTTTATTGTTTTTGTGCCGGCAGAAAGTGTAGCCTAYTTGCTAGACAAAAATGACCAAATCCTTAACCCTATCCCAGACTAAAATGACCAAATCGTAACCCTATCCCAGACAAAAATGATACCCTATCCCAGACCAAATGTCAAAAAATGATACCCTACCCCAGACCCAAAAGCCGAAAAACCATACCCTATAGGGCGGTACATACCTGTATAGCAAATATAGGGGAGTACCCCCTCCCCCCCGGTATGTTGTGTTAGGTTGACTATTCTTTTATGGGGAAGTGAAATCCCTCTACTAAAACTAATAGTGCTTGCACTACATCCGTGAAACAAATACTAATTTTTAGTACTAAATAGTGATAATCAAACAATAGGAAACAAAAGATTCTGTATGAATTACTACTAATTAGTACTAAATATTTTTCACTGTTTTAGTGTGTGCACTATAATGATAAATCTTTATTTATTGCTTTTAAGTGCTTTATCTATAATTATACTCAATAGTGCTGACAATGCTATTTATGATACTATATTATGAAAATATTTAGTCATGCTCTTGTTGCTCCTTGCGCAAATATTTGTCACTTGTATAGAGAGTTTTTACATGATGTACAACACTGGCCATGTTTGTTTAACAAAACAATACGTTTTCTATTCTTCCGGAATCAAAGTCTTTTCTTAGACAAAACACTAAAATTCCATGCTATTACTTGGTACACCAATATGGCTGCCTCTTCACAAGAGCAAAAACATTGCCTCTGAGTCACCTATTTATCAATTGAGATTCAAGAGTGTTATTTCAGACAAATTTTATTATAAATAACAATATATAATAACAAGATTAAATTTCCTCAAAACACAGTCAATTTTCGGTGTTGATCTTTCTGGTGTATCTTCTGTTTTATCATTTTCTCTTTTGTCTTCAGTTGAGTAATGTGATGTTCTAATCCTTTAACCTTTTTGTTGAAGAATGAACTTGTATTCGCATCCCTGTGTTTGTATGGAAGAAAAATGTTCACACTATTAGTTGACAAGATTAAGTAATACTGGTATACACCTAATTGAAAAAATCGTCTGGTTCAAAAAAAGGTCTTATCATCAAAGCTAAGACCGAAGGGGAGCATGGGAAGACAAACAATTATGCTAATTTCATGTGTATTGCAGTTTTCCCTTCCTGTGCACATTTTATGCATCATGGCTTTGGCATGTTGTTAATCTAGGTTGACCGACTTTGCTCTACTGTGCATTTTTACATGTCTATATGCAAATATAATACACATTTCGGAATACCCAAAATCCTTTTTGGTCTTAGCTTCAATAGGTAACCGGTCTTCAATGATATGACCTTCTCAAGCCTGACCAGGTTTTTTTCAATTAGGTGTATGCAAAATTGAAAAAATGCATATACAAATTTGTTTCATTCTTTTTTCCTCACGTACGAAACTGCTCTATGAATGGTCAATTATCCTCATAGGCATTATGACAGTCCAATAGTGTATAATTTTGTAATGTTATAACTGAGATCAGTTTGACTTACGTAGCATTTCTTCCATGAGCTTGTCGCTGTTTGTGCAATTGCTTTTCAGCCGCAGTAATTTCTTCATGAATTTTAAATAACTGGGAAAAAAAGAATTGAATGAATGAAAGATAATCTGAAAAACAGCAATAAATGAGAATGACAGACAGGAAAGTTTACTTATACTTTGGTTTTCAATATTCTCTGAACTCAGTGGTTACGAGTGCTGCATGCTGAAATTTGGTTTTTCACTGCCATCAGTCAATAATTAATCAGTTGGTTCCTTTTATCTTCTTGACTGGTGGCAGTGAAAAACCAATTTCACAACAAACTGTCGAAATGTCCAAGTTGGCAGAATATCAGAAAATCGCAGTAAAACTCCTACATCAAGCTACAAGAGATTGCTCGGGGGGGG